TCCCCCCCCCCCCTAAAGTTCCTTTTCTAGGTTTTCTGCTCGTCTTCGTGCCCCTTAACCCCGAACTTTTGCGTGTTTCGTACGGTCTATCTAACCCTAATCTGTGGAAACCCTCCTCTTCTTTCGCTGTGAGGTCTTCCCTTTTTGTTTCCTTTTCCAATTTCATTTGCTAGGTTTTGGTATTTTGATTGATTCCGCAGTTCTTTTTGTTCGATTTTTGTTTCTTTTGAAGATTTTGTCTTCTCGGGCTTTTGGAGTTTTTTTCTTTTCTTTTTGCAAAAAGGGTAATCTCATTAGTTTTGATTTTATTGCTTTATAGCTGTGATAATGGAGGACGAAGCTAGGGTATCTGGAGGAGGGGGCGAAATATATTGGTTAGATGCCCGTGAGGATATTTCGTGCGATCTAATTGATGATTTCGTGGGTTTTGATCGGTCGGTTGTCCAGGAATCCATAGATAATGGGGTGAATAATGATTTCTTTGGCGGTATTGATCATATTTTAGATAGTATTAAGAACGGTGGAGGTCTCCCTCCAGTTGAGAAATCCAACTTTTCTGGAAGCGGAGTTCAGGACAGTCGCGTTCCACAGAACAATTTTCAGATTAGTGGAAATGGTTATTGCGGAAATGACACTGGAAGTGGTGTTCCTCAGTGGAATGGACTTGGAAATAACACTGAAGGAGAGACAGAGAAATTGGGTGATAGAGAAATTACAGTTTTGGCTAAAGAGAATGGTTTACAAAAGAATAGCTTTAGGAGAAACGAGGCGTCAAAAGAGAGAGATTTTGATAAAGGCGAGAGGGTTGGGAAGAGAGCTAGAGTTTGTAGTTACAAGAACGAAAGGAACAACTTTATGGGTAGAGGGCAGCTTTTTTCTGTAGACAGGGATAGATCTTTGAATAGGAAACGGCCTCATGTTTGGGATGAGGGTGAAAGGGGTCATGGTAAGAGAAGAGACTACTACAATAATGGCAGTCACAGAAGAGATTGTAGAGATAGAGAACCTAGAGGTTACTGGGTGAGGGATAAATTGGGTGAGAATGAGATGGTTTATCGGGTAGGAACTTGGGAAGCTAATCACGATAGAGACTCGAAGGACGAGAATGGTAAAAACCAAGAAGGTGATGGAAAGGTAGAGAGCAAGCCTGATGACCTTACAGAAAAGGTCGTGGAAGAGCAAGCACGTCGATACCAATTGGATGTGCTTGAACAGGCAAGGACGAAAAACACAATAGCCTTCCTTGAAACAGGTGCAGGGAAGACTCTCATTGCAGTTCTTCTAATCAAAAGTGTTTACAAGGATTTACTGGGTCAGAATAAAAAAATGCTTGCCGTGTTTTTGGTTCCCAAAGTGCCATTGGTTTACCAGGTATCTTATACTATATGTGCTTTTCTATTATTTTTATTTGGCAAAGTTAGTTGGTCTTCATAACCTGTTAGGTTGTTATATTTATGATCCTGATTTTTCCAGCAAGCAGAAGTGATCCGCAAGCAAACTGGTTATCAAGTTGGGCATTATTGTGGCGATATGGGCCAGGATTTTTGGGATGCCCGAAGGTGGCAGCGGGAGTTTGAAACTAAGCAGGTTTATTTTCGATTGTTGTTTTTGCACCGGCTTTAACATTTTCTTCGTATCGCTGATTAATACATGGTCCTATATACTATTATCACACGAAAGGCAAGCTGTCTAATAGAAGGGATGGTTTTTTTTTTTATCATCAGTCTTGCATCCTGGCTCGATATGGGTTTGGTTTTCTTAGTAATCTATTCTTCTTAGTTTATGGTATTTCACCCTATTTTTTCTGCAGGTCCTTGTCATGACAGCGCAAATTCTCTTGAATATATTGCGGCACAGCATCATTAAAATGGAAATGATTAATCTTCTTATTCTCGATGAATGCCACCATGCCGTCAAGAAACATCCATACTCATTAGTGATGTCTGAGTTCTATCATACCACCACAAAGGATAAAAGACCTTCTGTTTTTGGAATGACTGCCTCGCCTGTTAACCTAAAGGGTATATTTTTTTGAGCAGCTGTGTTTTCTGCTTCTTGACCTTTCTAACCTGTTCAAGCCTGCTAACGTTTCCATGCATGAATGCCGTATCGAGCTTTTACACTGTAGTTAGTTGAATTAATTGTCACTGTTGCATTTTTATGCAGGTGTTTCTAGTCAAGTGGATTGTGCAATAAAAATTCGTAATCTCGAGACCAAGCTGGATTCTATTGTCTGTACAATAAAAGACCGAAAGGAATTAGAAAAACATGTGCCCATGCCTTCAGAAATCGTCGTTGAGTATGACAAAGCTGCTACTATGTGGTCTCTTCATGAAAAAATAAAGCAAATGATCACAGCTGTTGAGGAGGCTGCACAAGCAAGTTCTAGAAGGAGTAAGTGGCAATTTATGGGGGCTAGGGATGCAGGAGCGAAAGAAGAGCTGAGACAGGTTTATGGAGTCTCTGAGAGGACTGAGAGCGACGGGGCGGCCAATTTGGTTCATAAACTGAGGGCCATTAATTATGCTCTTGCTGAACTAGGTCAATGGTGTGCTTACAAGGTAATATGTGTTGAAAATAAGCTTGATTTGAATGTGTATTTTACTGAATGGTGTTGTACTCATACATGCTTTTTATTTTTGGAAGGTGGCACAATCCTTCTTGACGGCACTGCAAAACGACGAGAGAGTGAACTTTCAAGTCGATGTAAAGTTTCAAGAGTCCTTCCTCAGTGAAGTTGTGTCACTTTTACAATGTGAGTTGTCGGAAGGTGCTGCGTCTGGCAAGATTGTGAAAGTTTCAGAGCTGGACAATGGGAATGCACAAGATCGGGACAATTCTGATGAGATTGAGGAGGGAGAGCTCCCTGATGATCATGGTGAGTTTAGGCTAGAGTTACCATGCGTTTTAGAAACAATTAACTAGACCTTGGAAAGTTGAAAAACCTTTGTTTTTTTAGTATACCCTGAAAGAGCTACAGAAATGAACAAATGATCTCTAGGAAAGTCATTTAAATTTGTTTTGCTTTTTTTTTTTGTGCTTGATGGGAGATCAATGTTGGACATGAAATGAAAATTTCATGGATTCTATGTCATACTGTGTAACTGGTTGGATAAAGCTGGAATAACTGTGCTGTGTATGATTTGAATTTGTGGTGCAGTGGTTTCTGGAGGGGAGCACGTTGACGTAATAATAGGGGCTGCAGTAGCCGATGGGAAGGTTACTCCAAAAGTTCAGTCGTTGATCAAAATACTTCTCAAGTATCAACACACGGAGGATTTTCGTGCAATTGTTTTTGTTGAGCGTGTGGTTGCTGCTTTAGTTCTTCCGAAGGTTAGAACTATGTGACCAAATATCATTTCTCTTTGTATATTATGTGTCTTGGATTCTAGATTTCCTTACCTTGTCTCGGAAATTTTAGGTTTTGGCTGAGCTGCCTTCCTTGGGTTTTATTCGGTGTGCTAGTTTGATTGGGCATAACAACAGCCAGGAAATGAGAACATCTCAAATGCAGGATACAATTTCCAAATTTCGAGATGGGCAGGTATGATAATGTGTTATATTTCCAAGTTTTTTGGTAATGATAAAAATCGTATTATATTCATTTTAGCTTATGTCTGTTAAATGTGTAACAGGTGACACTATTAGTCGCCACAAGTGTTGCTGAGGAAGGACTTGATATCAGGCAATGTAATGTTGTTATTCGCTTTGATCTTGCTAAGACGGTGCTGGCATACATCCAGTCACGGGGTCGGGCAAGGAAGCCTGGATCAGACTACATTCTCATGGTTGAGAGGTACTGCATTGCCATATGTAATATTGTAGATATGCTAAATTTTGAGTACTTTACATTTCATTCTTTAACCACAAACTATTCGATTAGTGCTGCAGATGATTTTTCATCATTATTACTGTCTCTTCAAGATTTCATTTTGATGATCTTTTACCTCGGTTACAGGGGAAATTTATCTCATGCAGCATTCTTAAGGAATGCTAGGAACAGTGAGGAGACCTTGCGAAAGGAAGCTATTGAAAGGACTGATCTTAGTCATCTCAAGGATACCTCGAGGTTGATTTCCATTGATGCTGTGCCTGGTACAGTTTATAAGGTGGAAACTACTGGTGCCATGGTTAGCTTGAATTCTGCTGTTGGTCTCATCCACTTCTACTGCTCTCAGCTACCCGGTGACAGGTCGTTCACTGACCTCTAAAATATAATGATACTTTTTGTCTTTCTGGAAAGCTTTATTCTGGACCAGTTGATATATATTTTTTACTCGTGGTTCAGGTATGCAATACTTCGCCCCGAGTTTATCATGGAGAAGCATGAGAAGCCTGGAGGTCCTACCGAGTATTCATGTAGGCTTCAGCTTCCATGCAATGCACCATTTGAAATACTCGAGGGTCCCATTTGCAGTTCAATGCGACTTGCACAACAGGTAAGCGCTTATTGTATGTTATCTCATGTATTCTGTCCTTCAATGTAATTTACTTATACTTATCGTGTGCTTGATAAGTAGGCTGTATGTCTGGCCGCTTGCAAGAAGCTGCATGAGATGGGAGTGTTTACTGATATGCTATTGCCAGACAAGGGGAGTGGTCAAGATGCGGAAAAGGCTGACCAAGATGATGAAGGTGAACCTCTTCCCGGAACTGCTAGACACAGAGAATTTTATCCTGAAGGTGTGGCTGATGTACTGAAGGTTAGTCCACACCTACCAAATTTGCTATTTATACTTCTAACGAATGCCTAAGGTTTGAGCTGCCATCTTATAATACGCTTGCTTGACATTTTATGGTATAAGGGAGAATGGATTTTATCTGGAATGGATGGCTGTGACAGCTCAAAAGTATTCCATCTATATATGTATGCTGTCAAATGTGTGAATTCTGGGTCTTCTAAAGACCCATTCCTAAATCAAGTTTCAGATTTCGCGGTTCTATTTGGCAATGAGCTGGATGCAGAGGTTCGCAATCCCCCTCTACTTGATGTTGGATTTCGGAATTTCCAGGTCTAAATTGCACCAAGGTTTTGTAACGATTCTTGACTGTAGCAGGTATTATCGATGTCGATGGATCTTTTTATCGCTCGGGCCATGATCACTAAAGCATCTCTTGCTTATAGGGGCTCACTTGATGTTACAGCAAACCAGGTTAGTCTGAACAATTCTTTTTCTTACTGTCATCTCTGCTTGCTTGTGATTTAGAATTTTGGTCCCGTGTTGGCATCAAGATCCCACTGCATTTGAGCTCGGTGTTGGTAATTGAATACTCCTCTGTGAGTTACTGGAGTGTTGAATTTGGTTAACTGTCTTCTCTACTTGGTTTAGTTTATGATTTCTTTTTTGTAATTCTTGTGCACTGTTTGGATTCCATTGCATCTGAGAATTCTGATTGAGAGTTGTTATCCGAGGCAATGAAAATCATCTGACATAGCACGCAAGTATAGGGCTGAGGTTGCATAATTGGTTCTTTGTTCCAATCACTAAACTATGTTCTTCTATTGCTGACATGCTTTTTGCAGCTAGCTTCCCTTAAAAACTTTCATGTGAGATTGATGAGTATTGTGTTAGATGTGGATGTTGAACCCTCCACGACACCATGGGATCCTGCAAAGGCGTATTTGTTTGTTCCTGTGGTTGACAATATCTCTGTGGAACCCAGTAAAGAAATCAACTGGGATTTGGTTGAAAACATTACCAGAACCACTGCGTGGAACAACCCCCTCCAAAGAGCTCGGCCGGATGTGTATCTTGGAACAAATGAGAGAACTCTTGGTGGAGACAGAAGGGAATATGGGTTCGGGAAACTTCGTCACAACATTGTGTTTGGTCAGAAATATCACCCGACTTATGGTATTAGAGGAGCTGTTGCACCTTTTGATGTTGTGAAGGCTTCTGGGTTGGTACCCGTAAGAGATGCTCTCGGAAAGGAAAATTGTGATTTACCCGAAGGTAGACTTATGATGGCTGATGGGTACACGGTTGCGAAGAATCTTATCGGGAAAATTGTGACAGCCGCACATTCTGGGAAGCGATTTTACGTGGATTCCATTTGCTATGATATGAGTGCGGAAACATCTTTCCCAAGGAAAGAGGGCTATCTAGGCCCTCTGGAGTACAGCTCTTATGCTGACTATTACAAGCAAAAGTATGAACATATTAATTTTCCTTTTTTTCTTTCTCTTAAACAATAGTTCTTTGATCTTTTCAGCTCATAAACGAAATTGTAGACATTCATGCCGTAGATTGCTAATACTTTTATGGTACCATGAGGACTTTATCGCCTTAAGGAACCTCCACTGTTGTGCAAGAAGAGAAGCAAAGCCTGTTTTGCATATGAGATTTATTTCTATAGCCATATATCCTCATGTGCAAGACAGGCGTTTCTTTTCTTCTTGCACAATGGAGGTAACTTGGGCTATCAAAGTCTTCTTTACGCTTTTATTAGGTATGGAGTTGATTTGAAGTGTAGACAACAGCCTTTGATCAAAGGAAGGGGTGTTTCATATTGCAAGAATCTTCTCTCTCCACGGTTTGAACAGACAGGTATCGGAAGATTCTCTTTCATCTCTTCAGTTTTTTTTTTCTTTTTTTTTGTAGTTTAACTGATGAGCTAACATGTATTTGGACTACCAAGGTGAATCTGAGGCGATCCTTGACAAGACATATTATGTGTTTCTTCCACCTGAAATATGTGTTGTACATCCACTTCCCGGGTCACTTGTTCGGGGTGCTCAGAGGCTGCCCTCGATAATGCGAAGGGTTGAGAGTATGTTGCTTGCTGTTCAGCTCAAGGATTTAATCAATTTTCCCATTCCTTCTTCAAAGGTATGGAAATAAGGTTTGTGCTTAGTTAAGTTTATTGTTACTCCTTGAGCTTTCCATTGATTTTATCGAGTATTCGTTTTCATAGATTCTGGAAGCTTTGACAGCCGCCTCATGTCAGGAGACATTCTGCTATGAGAGAGCTGAGCTTCTGGGTGATGCGTATCTGAAATGGGTTGTTAGTCGGTTTTTGTTTCTAAAATATCCACAGAAACACGAGGGTCAACTTACAAGGATGAGGCAACAAATGGTTAGTAACATGATTCTTTACCAATACGCGCTGGAGAAAGGGCTACAGTCATATATCCAGGCAGACCGGTTTGCCCCGTCAAGGTGGGCTGCACCCGGGGTTCCCCCGGTTTTTGATGAGGACACAAAGGACGATGACTCGTCACTTTTTGATGAAGAGAAACCCGTTTCCGAGGGAAACCAAGTAGTAACAAATCATGGTTTTGAAGATGGGGAGATGGAAGATGGTGAACTGGAGAGCGACTTGAGTTCATATAGAGTTCTATCTAGCAAGACATTGGCCGACGTGGTTGAAGCTTTGATCGGTGTATATTACGTCGAGGGTGGTAAACATGCAGCTAATCACTTGATGAAATGGATCGGGATTCATGTGGAGGCAGATCCTACGGAAATAGAAGGAACCGTGAAGGCAGCCAATGTACCAGAGAGTGTACTCAAGAGCGTTGATTTTATTGCAATAGAGAGGGCGCTGAACTATAAGTTTACAGAAAAGGGTCTGCTGGTGGAAGCCCTGACTCATGCTTCGAGGCCTTCTTCCGGCGTATCGTGTTACCAGAGATTGGAATTTGTTGGTGATGCGGTCTTGGATCATCTTATAACAAGGCACTTGTTTTTCACCTACACAAGTCTTCCACCTGGTCGCTTGACTGATCTACGGGCTGCAGCTGTCAACAACGAAAACTTTGCACGCGTTGCCGTTAAACATAAGCTTCATCTGTACCTTCGCCATGGCTCTACGGCCCTCGAGCGACAGGTAACCACAAAAAAAAGATAATAATAATAATATTATAATAATAATTATTATTATTATTATTTAGTAGTCTTGCAGTGGTCAAAACATTTGATTCACCGTTGGATATGTTGTCTCAGATTCGGGATTTTGAGAAGGAAGTTGTGAATGAGTTGATGAAGCCAGGGTTTAACTCCTTTGGGTTGGGAGACTGCAAAGCTCCGAAAGTTCTAGGGGACATTGTTGAATCCATAGCAGGTGCCATTTTTCTCGACAGCCAGAAAGATACTACTGTTGTATGGGGGGTACGTTTGGTTTGTTTCTACAAACTTTCTTTATTCTTTGATTCCTCTGAAAAAAAATAAAGATAATGATATACATCAACATCAAAATCGTCTTAATCCCAAGTTTAAATAAAGATAATGATATAATTTTTTTTAAATCAAAACAGGTGTTTGAGCCGTTGATGCAGCCGATGGTGACACCAGAGACACTGCCGATGCATCCAGTGAGGGAGCTGCAGGAGAGGTGCCAGCAGCAAGCAGAAGGGTTGGAGTATAAGGCCAGTAGGAGTGGGAATATGGCCACTGTTGAAGTTTTCATAGATGGAGTTCAGGTGGGAATGGCTCATAACCCTCAGAAGAAGATGGCTCAGAAGCTTGCTGCCAGGAACGCACTTGCTGTCTTGAAGGAGAAGGAGACCAAGCAGAAGGAGAAGGAGAAAGAGAAAGAGAAAGAGAAGAAGGAACCGAAGAATGGGATAGTGAACCAGACGTTCACGAGGCAAACACTGAACGATATATGCTTGAGGAGGAACTGGCCAATGCCATCGTACAGGTGCGTGAAGGAGGGAGGGCCTGCCCATGCCAAGCGCTTCACGTTCGGGGTCAGAGTCAATACGACCGACCGAGGAATGACCGATGAGTGCATCGGTGAGCCAATGCCCAGCGTCAAGAAGGCCAAGGACTCTGCCGCCCTTCTCCTCCTCCAGCTCCTTAATCAGTTATATTCTTAAATGAAAGCTCTCAAAACTCAACAACAACAACAACAAATATTATCATATTTCTTCTAGGTTGTCTGCTCAGATTCTGTTTTGTCCGGTCTGGTCTGATCGATATCTTATATGTATCAACAGTGAGGTTCTTGCCTTTTTCAAAGATTGCTACATTAATGTTAATGTACAACTTTTTGAAACACTCGTCAACTACGGAATGAATCTTTTGCATATACATAAAATTATTAAAACGGAATGAATCTTTTGCCAGCACCTGAAAACGTTCAATTCATTACAACGAATTGGTTATCAAACACGAACCTACTATCAATGTATAAACCAGAGAAGGAATTGGAAGACACATGATAGAGAGAGGGGCTTATCCATCCTTTGAATGGTTAATCAAAAGAAAGTAGCACAGGTAATGAGTTGGAGAAGACATACAAGAGGCAAGTGTAGCAAGTCAGATAGAAAAGAGAGACAGACAATACATAAGACATCAAATATGATACACAAATGACTCAATCTCCATAGAAATGTCTGACCATTGATCTAATTAACGATGCAAAGTCTTTCGTGAAACTGAAAAAGTTCTAATGATGACGATGACGACGACTTTATGGTAAAATGGGATAAATTAAAAAAAAAACTAATATGGGATTGATTGTACCTGCCAGGCCAAAAACGACTCAGCATGGTTAAGTGGAAGCTTCTCCTTCCAAGCGTAACCTCTTGGAGGCATTCTCCTCAGCCTGGCTGCTGCTAATGTTCGCAACCCTGCTTTCCTTTGCCTCCATTGAACATCTTTTGTATGGCTTGAACCCTGTTCTTCTTGTCTTTATAATGCTTTTCCCATTTCCAATCACTACTTCTTTCTCATCCTTTGCTGCTGCTATGCTCTTTTCGTCTTTGCCCTTGCAAATTGATTCTTGAGTCTTGCTCTTATGATCCATTTGAACCCACATTTCTCTTTCTTTTCCATCCAGATTTATCTTTTCTTTCTCTGAGCTTTCCTTTAGCTTTTCCACGTCTATAGGAGGTGAAAAGCTTTGTGGCAGTCTCCCCCTTGCAAATAGAGCTTCAAACGCCATTCGACCCTAACATAAACACAATTTTTCAACGCATAGATTAGTTCCAGAGACAGAAACCATGATTTTTGTGCTATAATATCAATTTTCACCTCTTCAGACACCTCCTTCCAGGAATCACTTGAGTTGTCTTTGCTTCTAGCTCGACGGTTACTTGATTCAGTAGCTGGCTCATTCCCTTCTGTCTCCTTCACATCCTCCTCTTTATCTTTCTCTGCTTTCTCCAAGGCATCTGTTTCTACATCACTTCCTGAAGGTGTATTTGAACCACATGATGAGGGATCAACCATCTTTTTTTTCTGGGTCGTGTTTGAATTAACCACTTGTTCCTGTACCGCTGCAACAGCCTCCTCCTTATGATCATCAGCTTTTGACCCTGCTTCTTTCTTGTTTCTTCCAATCTCTTCCGAGTCATCAGATGATGAAGCTGGCGACTTTGATGCCAAATTCTGAACTTCTAGAGCATCGCTCGGTTCCATTGCTGGTTCCTGAGTATTTTCAGTAGCCGCCTCTTTCTTATCTGTCTCGGGCATTGCAGTTTGGGCAGAAGATGGAGGTGGATCAGTGGTAGCAGACATGGGTGAGCACGCAAATGGAGCACATATGGGCAGAAGCCCATGGGCAGCCCACCAAGCAGTTGCTGCAGCAACTGTAGCAGCAGCGATCACAGCCATGTTTGGAGGAGAGCTCATTTGACTCAGGGGAAATGCTCCATCTGTCTGGATGGTAGATGTAGATGAATCATTAGAACTTCCGACGTTTGCATATGGCCAAAATGATGCAGCGTAAGTCGCTGCAGCATGGGCTGCAGGATTCTGAAGGAGAGCTGACACAATAAGATTGGACAATGTGGATGAGATCTGGATAAATGAACGGTAATCATCCTGGGTATGGCATGCAGGTACAAAAGCTGAAAACGCTTGATGAGAAGATCTATGCATGTTATCTTGATGTTGCGAAGAAGCAGATGTAGCTGGAACTGTAAACAAGCCAGAGTGTCCATGAAATTCTCCATTAGGACGAAACATGAACTCTTGAGGGCACGTTCCAATACCTCCATTCTGAACATGCACTGGAAAACGCCAAGGGTAGTTCTGAATGTCATACATATTGTCAGCGAGGGGTAATCCATTAACATCATTATCCTCTCTGCCTAGGTTCACGTGGGGCAAGTCTTTAGCAGCATTATCTTGTGAGTAGCAAGAATTATCCGCATTTGAAGTCTTACTAGTTCCATTATCTGCAGCTGCCTGTTGGAAATCAGAAACACAAAATTTCAGGCTGTTAAACTTCAAAACAGTATCTATCAGTGTTCTCTGATCTCATTCTATACCTTTCTCAGTGATGGTTCAGACTCCCTGAAGGTGTTAGGATCCTTCGGAGCCATTTTATTTGCCAAAGGGTATTTGTTTACTGAGGAGATGGAAGAACAATGAGCTTCAGGGGGGCGGGTGGAAACCCCTGAACAGTTATCATCCTGATTTTCTTTGCCGTTTGATATTTTCTCAACTCCATCGGGCTTATAACAAAAAAAAAGGGTAAAAGCAACTCTATCACATCAAGACGGAAGAGAAATGAAGAATATAAGTAAACAGAGAGAGTAGAACAGAACCTCAGTGAGGGGCTCTTTTTCCAAATCCAGTGCCTGATTACAATGTGAAGAAGAGGCTGATAAGGCAATTTTTCCATCCTTTGCTGATGAAACCTGTGATGTCGATGTACCATTCCCTGGTTTTCGAGGATAAGGAGTAATGGGTTTCCTTTTAGGCCGTGGAGGTGGAATCTCTATGTCCAGAGCTTGACAAACGGGAATGCCTTTGGCTTGAGCCTCTTTCTCTAGCTGAAATCGAACAAAACCGTGAACCTCCAGAGTGAAGAATGGCAAAACCCTGTGATTTACGAAATCGATAGCACTGAGGTAGACTCTTATACCTTCCCTTCAACCCCTTGTTTGGGGCAGGGGGAAGACAAAACAATTACTTCATGGCCTGGAGAGAGATTTCCAGGAATTTGTAATCCATTTGAATGGCTAAAAGAAATCATGCGAGTCCATTATTTCACTAGAACAAAACCTGATATAAAAACTTTTGGGCAACCTAATAAGTGATATGGAGGCATCTTTGTCATGCATGTCTTCTTATGTTACTTCTGATCTATCCTACATCTAAGCAAATGATGCTTTTACCCTCTAAACCAGATACAGACCGGCAACAGGTTTGTCTAATGGTTATCGGTACAACATATCCAGTAAGATATATTCACAGTCTCCCTTGCTCTCCAAAGTAGACAGCAACAGCTTAAATATTTTTAAAGAAATCTGTTCCACCGAAAAAATGAGCATACATCAGCCTTTATCTGCACCATATGCTATATTCTTGTCCAGCCTCTTCAACCCGAAACCATATATAACACTTCATCAACCAAACCAAATTCTTCAGCAAATCGATAAAAAGATGAGCTGAAACAGTCAGTGATGCTCTAAGATTTCTTACGTTGTAAAAGAAGGTCTCACTTAGACAGATCGAGAACTAAAAATGATAGATAGTATCACCCAGTGGACTCACACATGCAGTTCCACCGAAAATATCACATCAGAATTTTTTATATATATAAAGAAAAAAAAGAGCTGGTTAATAAAGCTTTTACTGGGTTAGGCTATCGACCATATGTAGGG